TAAACACATTGATACTATGTTCAGAATGGGACCAACCCAGTTCCAGCAGCAAGCCACCAAGAATTCAACTCAGCTTTGCTTTTCCTGATGCAGTGTAAATTTTGAGCATGTCTACTTACCTTGAACAGCTGCACTCCAATACAAGCAAACATGAACTGCAGCAGAGTGGTAACAATCATGATATTACCAATAGTTCTAATAGCCACAAAGACACATTGAACAACATGCTGGAAAGAAAGAAAAAAATAAAAATATTTTAATGCAACTCGTTACTTAGTATCACAGACTACGTAATAGTCTATTTTATCACATTCAGATTATTCTTTTAAAACTACTATTTTTGAATTGTCAGTATTATACCTACTACCATAATTAAACTTGTTTTCTAAATTTGTCTATAAGCCTGTTGACATAGAGCCATCAACATTAACTTCTAAAAATTACATAAGCATTATGGAAAAACAATTAAAATATTGCTCTGGTGTGTTGGTTCACAGCAAGTATTATGATCAAAATCTGCTCTCCATGGCGTTGGTGTTCCTCCACATATAAACTGCTGTAACTGTGGGCAGAATCTGGCTTAATACGTTTAAGAATAAGGAACTGATTTGTCCTTGCCCTGAACTTCTCTAGGCAATTTTTCTTGCGGAAGAATTTTTAACCCGAGGCAGGACTGAAGAATCAGGCCAACAGAAATATAAATTCAAAAAGAAAAATAAACACCTTAAGTCCTTTTGCTCTGTTTATTGCCCTTAGAGGCCTCAAGACTCTTAAAACTCTGAGGATCTTCACAACTGAGATAGCACTTGATCTAGGGGGAAAAAAAAGTTATTCTGTTACTTTTAAGGTAACGGATTTTATTACTAAGGATAACAATGTTATTGCAACTTCTTTGTATATGACATTTCAAAAAAGTCTCAAGATATATATACAAGATTTTTTTTTAGTAATCATGGATCCTTTATTAATATTAGAAAATAGTATCAATCTCATAAATACCATAAGAATTATTTTGATTTCTGGAGCAACTTTGGAATGAACAGCTCCGAAGCTTGTCTGACACTGTAATTCAGTTGAGCTTGGTCAGGAGCAAAATGGCCCCAAGGTATTTTTCAGTGTTGACAATCTCTTTCGAAGACACTGTGTAAGCCCTATAAATCAATGAATACCTTAATTTCCAACCAGCTGGAGATTAAAAGATCTCAATTTACTCACATGCTCTTTATTTAAGTAGCTAGGACTGCATTTTGAGGAAGTAATAGCAGCCAGCCTTTTAAAGAACACACTGTCAAACTGAAAGCTTGTGTAATAGGTATTCTAGTACAAGCAGAATACGAAGTGGGAAGCAGCTGACTGACACCAGCCCTTGCTCTTTTCTAAGTCACTAAGGATTTCACAGATGATTTTTGAGGCACAGCTGCTCAGCAAATCAATAAGCACTTTCAGACTCTTATTATGTTTAGCCTGATCCAAACAAAGCAAAATCTCTTCACTACCACTTACAGTCCTGGTTAAGGTACTTCTCTCCCCTTCAAATAATGACAAGTTACATATCCTAGTAAGTGAATGCTGAAAAAGCAAGCTCATAGAACTAGGATGTAGATATGGCAATAGCACAAAAGAAGGTATATTAACCTCCTGAAGCTCCAGAAATTACTTGCTATGCAATACAGTGTCATGGTGTTCTTCCTTGTTCTCTTGGTAATAGTGGGAAGTAGTAATTTGTTTCCAACCCATATTAGTAATGAGTTACAACACTCCATATAAAGCACTACCTCTTGCCAGTCCCACCCTGAACACTGATACTGCACATCCACACACAAGGGGGGGAACAAAAGGAGCTGAAACACTGATTTCAGTGTAAAACCCCAAAGCAAAAATAAATCATTCACATTATGTATGTATAGTACTTACTGTATACCAAATGATACCAGAGAAACACCCACAACCAGCAAATCCAACAAATTAAAATAATTCCTGCAGAAGGACCCTTTATGAAGGAATGCTCCAAAAGCTGTCATCTAAAAATAGAATTGTTACATGTTTAGTCTATATGTCAATTTATTCAAATTCGCATTTAGGCTGTTTACAAGACACTTGCCTAGAGTGTGAAAGCATACAATATTATCTCAGTTTCTAAAAGCAATTGAGATATGCATTTTAAACCCATTATGTTCTATTCTGTTCTGTTCCTCAAGATGGAGCAAAAAGATTTTATTTCCTTTCTTCTTGCAGCAGACTATCACATCTTTCAAGACTGTTCCACAATGAAGAACAGAGCTACCATCAATGGGCATCTCAGGCTACTGTGCCACTACTTATATATCTGCAAAGGAATGCAAACTACAAAAGATGCATTTTTCTTGGAAGCCATTCTCTCTTTATTCTCATGTTAAACTTGCTTTTGTCATGATCAAAATAATAAATGTTTCTCAAAACTAGAAGAATAAAAATCCTAAAGTTTTAACCTATGCAATGACATGAGAGGTAGTATATGATAAAATTTCCAGCAAATTCCTAGCTCTTTTCACTTACAGCTCTACAGAGTAGGGCTAAACTCATTAAAATCAGTGAGAGTTGAACACTAAAATAACCTTGAATATCAAACCTACATCTACAAATAATCATTTACACTGCAGTATGTTATCAGTTAGCAGCACACAAAAGTTTCATGTAAAGACTCCTACAGAAGTAAATATATATTGACCTAAAAATACAGGTGAAGCACTTATCTCCCCATCTTTATATGGAGTCTCATATTTCAATCACTACAAATCTCAGTGGAAGCATTTGACTAAAACTCTCTGTGGCAAATGATTCTATCCTTCACACAGATCAAGGCCAAAGCAAAGCTTAAAGCAGATTTTGAGGTGGTGAGCTCTGTCATGCAGCCTTCAGCGGAGCAGATGCTGCCGGACACTCACTGGGCCAAGAGCCCAGAGCACCACCAGTGCTGCTCTTTTCCTCCTGCTTGTAATTCCACAGCAGTGGGGAATGGTTTAAATGGTGTGGGATTAGCACAGCTGGGACAAGGTTAAAAGCACAAGGCCCTAACCTGACCTTCGCTCTGATGTTTTCACGTTTCCCCAAGTACTGCAAACAGGATGGTTAAGGTGGATTTCAATGCCACGTAGGGATTACATAAGAGAATTCTTAAATGCTGTAAACTGATGTTGCAGCTTTTCTGTTATTTATATCCTTATTTATGTACTCAACACCATATAATGTGGAAATTCCCATGTCTCCAGAGCAGTCAATAAGATAGAGCACAGGGAGACTCTCCACATGCTGAGAGTTATTCTGTTTTAATGCTTGGGTTTTGGACATTTACAAGTTTCTTTGCTGCAGCTGATAGTATTGCCTCTGGTTATCTTAATTTCAGTTTCATACACTTTTTGCCTGGAAATTAAGCAATGCTATTGTTACTGTCGGTCTAGTCTTGAATTTACTCCTTGCAGAATACACACAGCTTCTGTACATCTTAGACACTGTGGAAAGCACAGGGCAAAATCCAGCACAGAAGACATGGAGGACTCCAGCCATAAGCAAGCAAAGCCAGTGTCTGAGACATGTTAGTAAAGCAGGCACTGTGCCATGTTCTGGTTGTCCATTACATTTTTTATGGTACAATTTATTTTCCCTTATAAATAGATGTGAGTGCACTGCCGAGCTTCCTGGAGAAAGTGGAGTCAGGAGCATCAACATTTTTGGCTACAATGGGGCTTCTTGTTTCTTTGTAATATTTTACAATGCCAGATTTCAGCAGCCCAAGCTGCTTCCTACTTCCCTTGGATAACTCTTGAGTCACTCAGTGTCAGAATCTTTCTCTCCTAGAGAAACACCCCTGGAACTGCAGGAGCTATACAACCTGCTGCTCAGAGCACGTGGAAGTTTACCGACTCTCTTCTGCCACAGAAATGGTGGTAACTTATTTTGTATGGCTTCTCACATTCAGATGTGGCAACTAATTTGTCCTAATGTTACAGTTCTTTTCAATGCCTCGTTCTTTCCTTTAGTTTGGCCTCTCTCTAGCAGCAACAAAACTGGGTATTTATTTTAGAATGCTACAAATCTTGTAAGATTAATCAATTCTATAGCAAGCTCCTCACTGCTGAAACCAAGAAATAAGGGGATAAATGTAAGTCTGGGAGAATATTTGCAAGCATAGAAGTAGTCTACTGCTTACAATACAGCTTATCTTGTAAACAGCCCAAATATTGCATCAATTAGTATTTATCAAATCGCATTGTGAAGAGTATGCACAGCAATATGAGCAAAAGCTGGGAGAAGAGATTTTGTTAAGCTTAATCCTCAACTGGAAATGCAAAGTTTATGTACAGATTCTTAGTGTACCAGAAATTTTTAAGTCTATAGATCAGGGTTACTCAACCAAAAACTCATGGTGAATATGCACAACATGAAACTTTTAGGAATTGTGTGTAAATCTCTGAAAAAATATTTCAAATTCCCACCAAAGATTTTGATTTCTTTGTCCAGCATTTTCTTACATGTGAACCTAATCCTCAGTTATACGGCTCCTTTGCTAGAGTAAGCCTCGTACATCTAAAACCTGAGTAACCCCAATGGATATTCTTAATAATCAGTACACAAACTATACATTAAAATGCCAATTTTTGACTCATGCATGGGTAATACATTTAAGCAAGCATATTTATGCCTTTCTGTGTATTTAAATGTATGCCCAAGATAAATGCAAAGTATCTTAGTATATGGATAGATAAATGCAAGATATCTTGCAAGTCCTGTTGCAAGAAAATAGTTATCTACTATTTTAGCTCTGTGAATATAGTTCAGCAAAAGAAACAAGAAATTACATGCTCTCTCCTTAAAAGACTGATTATCTCTTTTGGAAATGCCAGAGCAAGGAGAAGGAAAAGCTCATGCGCAGTGAATTATTTTTCCCTTTTCTGGCAACTGTGAGTTTAAAAAGGGTAAAAAATGAATTATTAAACTGATGTAATGATAAAAAATCAGCTTCTTCATGCACCCAATGGTAAAAAATAACCAATCAAAACTATGAGGAACTGTCAAATAAAAAAATCCTCTGGTTTAAAAAAAGTTTAGCTTTGATCGCTTAGAGAAAAGGCGAAGAACACTTCAAGTGCCTTTTCCTGGCAGGTGACACACAAGGAAAATCCTTTTAAACAAACTTCCTTTAAAAACCTGTTACCTTCAAAATGATCTCAAATGTAAACATACTAGTGAAGACATAATCTGCATACCCTAGGATCTGGAAGGTAAACAAAAAGTTACAAACATTATTGCTAAAGCTGCTTTTGAGCTAACAAGGATCAATTAACAATGCATTACCTTTAACAGGATTTCAACAGTAAAGATGGCTGTGAAAGCATAGTCAAAGTAACCAAGTATCTGCAAGGTATAACATGCGCCACAGTAAGAAATCCATCTATTAATGAATTTTTACAATTTAGACCACATGCACAACAACACCCAAATTAATCTAAGTAGGTAGATAGGGAGTTTAAACAAAGTAGTTAAAAAAAAACTGCTGTTATGCAATCATTTTTATTTACTTAAAAATTTATCAGATGCCACTGTGCTTAGATATTAGAGTTCACCCTGAAGAGTTAACAGGATCCAATAAGCAACACTTTCTTTCAATTCAGACTTTCCTCTATCAGCTTTCACAGATACACTTCTTCAGAATCTTACACAAAGAATAAATACTTATTAATAATAAGTCTTTTTTTTTTTTTTTTTTACCAAAGTACTGCATCAAAAAATAAAACTTCAGTGGATGTTTCTAGATTGCACATCATTCTACATTCTGCTACATTATATTGTTCCTGTATAGACTGGGCTAGAGCATCACAAAGCAAATTAACAAATAACTAAATTACTTAAAATCAGTACTACACCTGTCTTTTCTAGAACTTGGAAGATACAGCAGTGATTTATTTGTAGGAAATTCAAAAGAACCCACAACAGTTGCACAGTAATATCCAAACTTTTAAAAAGATTGCAGATGTGATATTGACCTCACTGCTGTCAACAGGAGCACTGCTGCCAAGATTTCACCCTTTCAAGGTGGCCATATCACTAGCACCTAATTTAGTGACCAACACACACTGCAGTAGGGTACTAGTTTAGTTTTAAGGATCCAGCAATCCAGCTAGCGAACAGTTGTGCACAGAGACACGTTGCTTGTGGCTCGGCAACTAATAAAATGGGAAGGAGAAATAAAATAAAGAGACAACACACAAAGGCAGTATTCCTATTAGATCATATAAAAGGAAGTAATTTTTTTGCCCATGTTCAGTTGAAGATCACATCCTTCTGTCCTTTGCTGAGGCTGAAAAAATATGTGAATATTAAAGCCATTCAACAAAGATTAATCAGTAAGGAATTAATTCTAGAGTTAAAAGAAAATATTTAAAGGCATTCCAGTCTGTAAACTTTCATTCCCTTGCCAAGCTGGCTGGTTGAAGGAACATGATCATTCAAGGCAGTAACAAGAAACATATGCAGGTCTGGTGCGTTTGTGAACATTTACAAGAGGGCAATGCCTTCTTGAAATCACTCACATTTTACCTGTCTGTGTCCCAAATAGGAATAATCCTTTCAGTCACCAACCACTCTCCAGGTACGTTTTCCTAGTACTCCTCTAGTTACAAAAAAAATTACCAGCCCTTCAAGCCATTTCTACAATAACAATTTCAGTATTGCCCACCAGTTCTCTTTTTCTTATCCATTAGTGATTTATTCATAAGATTGCTCTTGTCTGGTTTTACAGATACGAGAAGCACACGTCTCCACTGAATAGTACATGAAGAGTGTCTTTGTGCTTTGACCTCTTTTTACCTTTGAAGAAAGTTTTAACTTTTTTTTTTTTCCTAAGGTTACTGAAAAAATATTCAGAGAATGTCAAAAGAGGACTTCCAGAGGATGCATCTACACTAGCAAGAACTAGAGGGATACAACATCTACTGACCTAGTAGGCCTATCTTTCCTGTAAGATGTGTAAGAGTTTCTCTAACCCCTTGGCAATCTCTACAGATCAATTTATACCTAAAACAGGAGAGGCTTGGAAGTTTTGTCAAAGTATCCCAAAAGTCCCCCCAGACTATTACCAAGTAGCATCATCTCAGCTATTTCATACCTAATCTGAAACATGCACAACTCACAATAACACGAGAGGCTCGCTTCACCATTAATACAAGTGCAGCAAGTGTTAAGACAAACATTAGTAGTCACGAGAGTGAATTTACTTTTGTTTCTCTGTCTAATAATTGTGCATTTGAGTAACAGGCATGTTTTCTACTACATTAAGAACATAAAATGGGGGATTCAGGAATTTATTTTAGGAGAACACAGCTGTTTACTTACCACATAAACTACATTTATTGCATAATAAAGAAATTTCTGAAATTAATATTCTTATAGATATTTTATTTCTACAAGTATATCTAAAAAAGGATGCAGAAACCCTTTCAAATTTTCGTGTTTGTATATAGGCTGAAATAGCATTTGACTCTGAACTATGACAAGAGCTGGGCATGCTCCAATCCTCATCTTACATGTGAGTTTAGAAAAAAGTGAAACTTTTTTAGTTTCTGATTTAGCCAATCGGGAATCCAAGGACTTCAGGTCATTGGAGTGGCCACGCTAGCTTCTTTGAAAGAAAAGGTAATATCCTTATGAATGCATACACTCCCTAACAGAGTGATACTCTGAGTTCCCCAAGACCACATTAATAGAGTCAACGAAAGAGAATAGGGGACAGGTCAGAGTCTATTCCCAATGTGTTTTAAACAGTGATCATTTTAGCTAGCATTTCTAAATTAGTGTCAAACACTGAGAGACAGTAAGAGTGGTTCAGGAAATGCATATCAGGTACACCAGTTGAAAATCATAAAGACATAAAAATTAAGGGCTTACATTATTTCGAAAAGAGTGGCTGCGAATTGGATCTTCTGCTGCTAGGGAAACACTGCTCAGCATGATGAAGACAAGGATGAGATTGGTAAAGATGTGGTGATTGATGAGTCTGTGGCATCCCACTCGAATTCTGAATGATACAAAAATATACCATGTGTGCAAATAGAATTCAGCAGATGGCTAATATACAACATGTTTTCTATGACTCTGACAACAACAGAACAGAGCAACCATCAGCAGCTAAAAGCACTGCAAATGCTGAAGTTAGAGCTCTGATTTCTAAAAATGTACATAAATTCAAAATCCAGTCCACCCGTAGTGAAGATTCACTTATCAAAGGAATCTGAGAGAGGATTTCCCGGCATTTCCAGGGTTATGAATGCCACTACAAGTTCCAGTGTTTGTACCACTGTGCTCATACAGAGGCCAATGTCAAAAGGACCAAAGCTAGATAATAAGTAATTTCAGATCCCAATTTTGATTTGATTCTTATTAAAGCTGTCAAAAGTACTCATACGGTGATCTTCAGCCACATAACATGAAGTGGAACTGTACATATGCTTAGAGTCACTGAGCCCAAGGTTATTACGAATACTATGAAGCACTTTGGTAGAACAGGTCTGGGATTAAATTGGCAAAAAGGCGGGATCAGGTTCGTAACTGACTAACACTAAAGTTGTCTAAACTGTGCTGAACAATCAGAAGGTTCTTGGGGAAAATTTGTTCTCCTGTAATTAAGTAGATTATTTGAGTATAGTGTATCTTAGTTAAGTAAGATGGCCATTTTGGCCTGAGAATATGTAGCATTAGTTGAGGCCAAAAGCAATTTGACATCTTCAACAAATCTAACATTTTTGCATTCAAGATACATGTTCTTAAAATTACTAATTTAAATAGCACTCTTCCCAGTTTGTTTGAAAATTCTGAAGAGCTTTAGACAACCCATGCAATGAATAAGATACAGCCCAAAACACTGTATCTTGATCATCACACCATCTTCTAACTTAATTACGATGACCTCTACCACTGAGAAGACAGCATTCTCCTGTGCCAAATAACTCTTAAGCTCCCTTCTGAGACTGCTCATGAAATTGCTATATATAAATGTAGCAGCTACATTCAGTCTGTAGGAACTGAGTTTAGTTCACTTGTTCACTTCCATCCAACAATCAGTAACGACTTTTACTGACTACCGAAGCTTGCTTTCTTCATCAGTGCAGAACTTCAAATGCTCTGCAGTTAGACTGAGTGGTGAAAGATTCCAATTCCCCGCAAAATCCAACTAGTATTGCTCTTGATTTTGAAATAATTTGTCTTTATCCTCAGTGTTTGCTTGAATCTGGGAAAATGCTGTTACCCAAGAGGAATATATACATCCTTTCTCCTTCTTTCTCTTTCTCTCTCTCTTATCTTCTCTCCTCCTTCCTCACCCGTATTACTCCAGAAAGGTTCCTAGTGTTACTAGGAATCCTATCTCATGTAGAAGATGCTCAGACCTTACATCATACCTTTTATATCCAGTGACTAACATACTAAGTAGATAATATACATAAAAGGGTACTTTTCAGACGTTTGCAGACTTGACAGACTATATGTACAAAATGTTATTATCTTCAACAGTGGGAAGCAAACCAATATATTTATCAAATTATTTTCATTTACCAAGTCATTCAGAAAATTTTACGAGAGACGCAAATCTCTCTTCTGTTGAAGATACTGGAGTCCTAACCTCACTGAAAGGAGGCCTGTTCCTTCACTGCTAAACCTTGATGGACTGAAACAGTATTTTTCAAAATTATATTTACGGATTGGTGCTGCTGAAAATGAAGAAGGCACTCCCTTCAGGAATTGGTGTTATCTTCTCCTTCATATTTAGTTCCGATATTCTACGGGGACGTGGGCCTGCTGGTACCTCTGGTTCATCCTCCTCATCTTCTTCATCTTCACCTACTTTAAATTAAACACTTTTTTACTATAAAATAAAAAACACTGAGGATTTGTTCATAATAACATAAAAGCATGGCTTGTACTAAAACATATACAGCTTATTGGAAATAAATATTCATAGCATGGCTTTAAAAAAATCTATGAATCAATAAACGAACATCCACATAGTTGTCATCAGCTTATATGCATGTTTATGTGCGTAAGTGCCCTGAGTGAACTAATATGCTTTACTGGGCCTGACCAACCTCATCTGGGGTCTCCACTCACACCCTCTGCACATAGGCTCTGGAGCCCCACTTAAGCTCAGCCTAAGCTGTGTTGTAGGGGTGCTGAGCTCTGTGCACTGGCTGAGCACTGAGTGCTCAAAAGGTAGGGCAGATTTCTGTCATAGGCATCCAGACAATCAGACAGAACTGCCTTTTTCATAAGAATGTTCAGTGGACTGGAAGAAGCTAAGGCAAAAGTTGATTGAACATCATCAGCCCTGAAATGTCCTTTTTTGCCAAACATTTCAGAAAAGTTTAGAATTTGCTCTCACATCCAGATAGTCTTCAGGCTCACAGTATTAACTTTCATATGCTGTTTGTACTGTCTCAGAAGCTGCAGGAAAAGATAATACTTAACAGCTTACAGGACCATTTATCCACTGATAACAGAACACAACTTCACTGACTTCAAAGGAATTGATTCAGTGTTCAGCAAGAGCAAGTTTAGGATATTTTAGCAAACAAACTTAAATGTGTTTGTCTTCTGGCTGGTATTCACATACCTGGTACATCACAGGGTGGATAGGGATCTTTATCCTCCTCCTCTCCTTCTCCATATTCAGCAATTGTCACCTACAGCAATCAAAAGGGATGCAGAAGAAGAAAAATAAATTTAAATACAGCTTGGAGTGTAAAGCTTCTAAAGTCAAGGAAGTGATCCCTATGCTTAGTCTGAGTTTTCTGAAACAGGGTAACTCTGAGAACAGAGAAGAGCTGACAGTTTGATCATATCTTTAAAAGATGATTTTTCTATGGTATCCACATTTTTCTGGCTGTGTAGATCACAATGAGAATATAATAAACAGGCTTTGGTAAAAAATACCAAGAATGTTTGAACATTCTACTAAGAGTTTATCATTTGCTAATCTCTTCCATTGGATTTATCAGGCAAAATACCTACAGGGATCCAGGGATCAAGTTTTTCTAACATTAACTATTTCATGCTCTAAGAGGTTCTCTTCTCACGATATCCTGAAACCAAAAGGATTTTCTGGATTAAGAGATTCTGTGAGGATGCAAAGCATCAGAATTAAATTTCCTTTGCCTGGAAAAAAATGTAGGGATGATGGATTCATAAAAGAAATTGTACAATGCACATTGTTCCAATGTCTTGAAAAGTACTCCCAAGCAAAACTAGTAAAACTGCTTCTTAGAAAAGACACAATTTTTAGAATAAACACCTTATTATCCTTGGGCTTCTTTTGGTCACCTTCTGACTTCTCACTTTTTTTATTTTCCAGACTCTCTTTTCTACAAAACAATACAACAACAATTACAGAGCATGTTACATAAAGACAGAAGATTTTAAGTGAACTATACCCATTCTATGAAAAGTTCAGAGCGCATACCTAAAACCATATAGGAAAATATTTGAAATTATTTGCACATCTGCAGGAGTCAGAGCAATAAAATCTATGGCATTTGAATGCAATGATCCATTTAAAATATTATCATTTAGAATATAATTCCAGAAGCTAATCCCTAAGAAATTCAAAGCATTATCATTACTCCTTTCTAGAGGGATAAACTGTGCCCTGGGACTCATACAAACAACCTGCATTGACTTCAATAGGCCTGCACTGATTTCAAAGGAAGGTTTTCTTCTTGTCTATATAAGGCTTAAAGAACTGATTCCACAGGGAGTTGTGCACTGGCAACAACAAATACATTCTTGTTCTAATTGCACAATAAATCCTACCATTGCAATGTTTAACTATCGGTTGGCTTATCACTATGTCCTTAGCATCACTATGTCCCATTTTCCCAATTACTACCCAACTTTTATCTAAAATCATAATTATTGGGTCTTATTCAAATGTCTGGGTAAACTCTTTAATTTTTTTCCTGAGTCCAATACATTTTGAAGATGGTTAAGACATTTATATAAAGAAAGTCCTTATGAAAAAATTCAGTAACCTCCTCCTTCCCTCTCCTGCTTATTCAACATGTCCATGCTATTTTACCTCGCATTCTTTTTCCTTTCCTTTTCTTCAGCTTCTTCTTTCTGAGCTGTATTTAGACTTTCAGCATCTGCCAAGTTATCCACAGCAATGGCCAAGAAGACATTTAGCAAGATATCTATTTCAAATGATTTTAAGGACATTATGCCTTACTATACTTGTTTGGTTTATTATCAGCATAAACACTGACAATGTGAGAGTTATAAAATGCATGTTCCCAACCTACATCACAGAGATTCGTGATGCTGGAGTGTAGTGCAAATAACACTCATTTAATGGACTAGATTAATACTGTGTGTAAAACGAGCAGAGATTCATTAGGGTGACTGGTTTTAAAATAGCAGAATACTTGACCTATTTTTTAAATAAATGAAATTCAGCTTTATGCTAGCCGGTTTCAAATATGAATCGTTGCCTATTAAAAGTGAAGGCTGTTCAGGCATTTTGAAAAAATTCATTTTTATAACGGACTATATTCTGTGTTTATAACAACCTATATCAATTTCTGTACTTCAGTCCACATCAGTTAAGTACAAAATACTGATACAAGTACCATACAGTACAGAAAATAGAATGGTTTTGCCCTTTTATCACCTCCTGACCTTCTAAGAACTTCTGAGAATGACACTAGATTCTGTTGCTACATGGGGCCAAGGAAGTATTTCCAGTACACTGAATGCAGGGAAGGGGAACGCTTCAGCAGACTTAATCGCAACTGACTCAACATTCTCCATGCAGATTTCTCTCATCTGGTCCCTGCACTATACAGCGGATCTCCGGTTCCACTGTCAGCGTGTGTCAGAATTATTAGGGCTACATCAAGCAGCAAAAGGATGAACGGGGAATTACTGCCATAGAGATCAGACTACATCCGTGCATTTTCAGAGGGAGAGATATCAAGTAGAGACAAGCAGGGAGAATAAGGCTGTTCTCCCACTGGAGGAAGAAAAAATAATTCTCTGTTTCTGCCATTGCGGTGGCTGGAGATGGACTCAGCAATCACTGGAGTCTCATTCATTCAGGAATGGGTGTACAAAGAAATTTTATTTAGAGGACATGCAGAAAGCGCTTGCATGTCCATTGCAATTTACTCCCTCCTAGACAAATTTTCCGTACATCCCTGACACACAGCACCATTTGGAGATGTTTCCAGTGACTGCAAAGGATACAGTTACCACAGATGAAGAGGATAATGAAATATATACAGACTATCATGCCTGATGATGATGGGCCACCATATGCCATTATGCCATCATACATAACAGCATTCCAGTCTTCACCTGTTAGAATCTAAGAAGCAGATATGTTATTAGTAACCCATCATCAAAAAGAGCAATAGACAAACACGTTTCCTCTGACCACAATACACAGTAAGGCTAACCTTCTGTATACACAAAGCAATACCATAATCTTTTTATGCATTTTTTTAAAATTTCCATTTAAATAAGCATCTTCTGAAAGCTTGGGTTTAACTCTCCTAGCTTTTATTTTATTTTATGCTACACATTCACATCACTGACCGTCAAAGGCAAAAATAATAAAAATAGAAGCCTGTAATTTTATTGATATTGGCATGCAAAAGTAAGGGCCCTGATTTTCAGTAATGCCACATATGTAGTAATGCCCACAAATGTTCATCCCTCTTGAAAATCAAGTTAGTATATGTTTTAAGGTTCTCGTTTTGGTTTTGGGGGGGGTTTTGGGGGGATTTGGGGTTTGTTTTTTTGTTTTTTTTAAATAGTGACCACAAATCTTTTCTAATGTATGCCATTTGCTAGTCCTACCCAATTTCAGTTTTAACAGGAAATGGCCGCCTTACCATATATTATATAATACATGTACCACACACATACACTGCTACTACAGCTTTTGAAACGGTAGCTATTTAAAACTGAATGGAGTTCAATGCTGTGGGAGAATTACACTATTTTCTTATTGGCTATCACTTCACATAATTTCACTGAACTCTAAAGGAATTTTACGGAAATCTGTTGATTAGTTAAAGGGATAGTTCACAATGAGGCAAATCCACTTTTTCTGTACTACAACAAAAATTCTGAGTATTACAATGCAGGTTATAGGGGCATTTTGTATACTTCTAAGTAACTTCTTAAAAATTATCAGTTCTATCCTGAGAAGACATGTAATACTGACTCTCCTTCCAAGTAATCAAGTAGTTGTTCAAGAAAAATATATGCATGCCAATTTCTGAAATTCATTTTTGGAGAGCTAAACTTATCAAGCTGATGTTCATAGTTGTGAGCACCCAACAGGTTGGTTGCTCCCAAGTTTATTCTGAAACCAAAGGAAGCCTCATTCCTTTGAAAATGAGGCAGCCTAAAATCTGAATAAAATCCAACTCAGCTGAGTTTGAAAGTACAGCCTTAATTTTTTTAAAGAGGCAATGTCAGGTCAAATGTGGACACTTTTCCTCTTAAGGAAATTTCCCATTAAGGTTTCCTTATCTTAAAATTGCATGGAGAGTTTTTTTGCGTGCTCTGGGCAGCCACCAGATGAAACTTCTACCAAGGGCATAGAAAGTTGACACAAAGTTGAGTCTTGCAGGGTCACCTTTAAACTATCACCTACAATGTCAAACCAAATATGTGGAAAGCTGAATGTGAAAATGGCTAGAAAGATGAAACCAGTTAGCCTAATTCCAGTATCCAAATCAGCAAAAATGAAAAAAAAGGATCATATAATAGTGAAAAGTAAGCTGTATGTATGGCCCTATCTTTTCACAAGTAACAGACAAGTTGCTTTAAAATTTTAATAAACCTGACAGTGTCTCTTTAAAGAAATTCATACTTATTTTTATATTATATAGTAAGTGATATGACCCCTATGCAAATACACACTCTTACAATGCTTCTTATTTTTTTCTGCTTGGGAATAGCCAAACTTTTATATAGCTAATGAAGTTAAAGAAAACAATTTGTTTAAAATAAAAATGACATTCCACCTCTTTTTCTAAGTCATGTATTTGATGAACAAAGGAGATTTAATTTTGTGAAGTAATATGACAGCTATGTTGCATAGATAGATCAAATAAGACATGAAACAAATGGTACGAATGGTGCAGAGTTATCAGAGTACTGAATTTAATGAGCAGAATGCTACTTAAATTAAACTGAATAAATAGTATTCGTGATTTTATTTTCAGGCAACATGATCACTTAAACAGTTTTGTTGATAATCAAAGGTAAAATGTTTCATACGGGATGAAAGAAAGTTACCTGGAATACAGTTAAAAGAGCTTGTGGAAAATTATCGAAGGTGCTCCGTTTTGTTTGAGTTTCATCAAAATTAAATTTGCCTCCAAACAGCTGCATTCCAAGCAACGAGAAGATTATGATGAAGAGGAAAAGCAGAAGCAACAGTGAAGCAATGGACTTCATTGAGTTTAACAAGGATGCTACCAAGTTGCTCAGGGATGCCCAGTGCCTATAAATTAAAATGCGTGTGTTAACACACACCAAAAAAAAATCCAAACAAAACAGTAAAAGAGCAGCGCATGATGAAATATTACAAAAGAATTGCTGATCAGTCTTCAGCTATCCCTAAAGTTAGCAGTATTAGTTAATCTTACCTTGTTACTTTAAAAATACGCAGGAGACGAACACAGCGAAACACTGAAATTCCAAGGGGTGACATAATTTCCAACTCCACCAAAATGGTTTCAACAATGCCACCACAAACAACGAAGCAATCAAAGCGGTTAAAAAGAGAAACAAAATAAGCCTGTAGGCCCAAGCTGTACATCTTTACTAACATTTCACAGGTGAATAAAGCCAGAAGAACTTTATTTGCGATATCTGGAACAAAATATTAAAAAAAAAAAAAAGACATTCCTGAATTGTCTCATAGTTTCCATTTTTATTTTAACATATTAGTACTATATTTTCTATATCAGTTCACAGCCTTTTGCTTAAGAAGGAAGTGCGGTTGTTTTATGTTGGATTGTATTTGATGCCTAAGTGGCAGAAGTTACACAAGGATGTAAAGATTGCTACCAGCTACAAACTATGCATCTTTCCAATCTGTTGTGCAGTTCATGGCTGCACAACTGACAGCTTGAGTTCACACTGTAACTTAAACAGCACAGCCCACAGCATGTTCTGCTGTGCCAGTTATCATTTCCTTCCTCATCTTTCAAGCATGGTTTAACAATAAATGTATAGGTATTTACAATTTAGTATGGTGATTTTTTTGCTGGTATGCCATTAAGCTGTGTTACAGTTGTGGAAATCAAATACATTCAGTCATTTCTTGTATCCTTTGGCTGGGCTGAATATGCTTCAGGACAGCAAACAGCAACAAAATGGCAAAGTACAGAAGTAGGCACTGGTAGAATGCAAGTATCCATAGTCAAAAACAGAACAAATAATTTTTGATTGTACCTTGGATCTGGGTCAGCCAGTCAGGTTGATTATAATGCTCTGATGAGATAGTTAATGTGTTCAGAAAGACCAAGACAATAACAAGCCAATAAAATGTGACAGATTTTACTGCAGCTCTACATTTTCTTCGATTAAATCGATTCCAGCGACGCCAGCGTCGACTGAAAGTTCAAATAAAAACAAATTTATTATTATACAGAAAACACATATGAACTTAAGGAGGGTTTATTCTGTGTAGAAAACATAGTGCAAGTATGTATGTGTGAGCAGTTGTATTTTCATAAATATGTACACAATACTTAGTCATGTAAATTATTACCAGTTGCAGATTAGGGAGTGCTAATTTGTTATTCCTTTTTTAGATTTCATTATAAATTTTTAAATATAAACCACAACTTTCAGAGACTCTAACTGCCTGTGCCATAATAAGATTAAGCTAAATTCAGCTTTTTCATTGAGTAAATATTTCACTGAGTAACAAGATACATCTGTGTTCCCAGGCCCCATACACTTAATAGCAGTAAAGAAAAGCCAATGAAGCAACATAGAATTCAGGTAATGCTTAGTCTGAAAATGCAGGCTTTGAGTTAAACCACAGGCACGATTCTGGCAGGTTTAAACAAGGCAGGATCGTTGAGGTCAATTTTAGAAATCTACCTTATAATGTCAGAAATTTCAGTCAGCAGCTCCTAGAGATTTCTACCGACATGCCTTGAAATTGTGTCAGTGGGCACACATTTGTGAAATGAGTAAGAGTGACAATCAAGGACAAGTAAACAGGCCCTACTTAGATATGGGTTGGATTGACAAGTGAGGGTATTAGCTTAGCTTTAGACTCATAAAACTAGATTTCATTTCTCTGATTCACTTCTGGGAACTGTAGTAAACCAATTAGTCTGCCTGGGTTGCATTCCCATTTGTGAAATGGGAAGAAAATATATCGCTGGATCACAGGAAGAGAAGTATTAGGAAGCATTTGATAAAAGAGAGGCATATAAAATGTGCCAGAACTACAGCCATGGACTCAGATAGTAAATTTTAGGAACTGACAACTGCTTCATACAAAATTCAAGGGACAGAGCAGGCACAGACTCCAATGGTCGCTTGACCTAGCCTTAAAACAGCAAAGAACTGAGAAGAGTGTGCATGCGTAAGCTTCTTCCTCTATAGTTTCCCTATCAAGCCAGTCTAGCATAAATCTGTTGTGATGGAAAGGGGTGCCCTACTCTCCTAGTTCTGCTCTCTCCCTTTTGCCAAAACTAGCCCTAGTGAAGTGAGCCACACCTGAGAATTAACTGGTGGAAACCAGTATCTTTTTTTTCTGGGTTGATTTTAGCTGGGCAGTTGTCTGATCCAATTCATTGTATTGCTGCATCATGGGAAGAGCAGGAAAAATGAGGGGCTGAGACAGGGCAAAGGCACTGCAGCCCTTTTGGCAGTACTACAAACATGGAACTGTGGCTTTGGAAAATTTTTACAAATAACGAGGTGAATTTCTTAATAATTTCAGTGTCTGAATTAGCAGGTATTTTATTTAGTATGTGTAAAGTCAGAAATGCTTTAAGTCTGCTTTAGAAAATAGAACCAATATGCAACAACACTACCATGAAAATAACTGAGCTTGGCATTACATTCAAGCATTATCTGAGTTTTCCTTACGCACCTTAAATTTGTACTTGTAGTAATGGAAATCAATACTGGTTTCAGACATCAGCACAAAGATGTTTCAAGCCTTTGCAATATTCAAACCGTATAAAGGAAAAATATCCTGTCCTGACCTAAAGCAAGCCGTATTCAAGAAGATTCTTATCTTGCCAGACCCCTGCTAAACAGCTCTATGTTCGTGGCCATCATCAGGATGGCTTGCTCCCTGGGTAGGTAAGCCAGCCTTTTTTTCACGCTTCTAGAACATCCTATCATTGAAGTAAATGAGACAAGAGTAATATTGCTTGGATATCTCTACTCATAGGAGCCAAAAGCAGTCTCAAAGTGTATAACTCATAGCTCTTGAAGCCAATGGAGCTTTTTCTTCCCCAAAAGGTCCATGGAATCAGTGATAAAACAGTGGTACACATACAAAAATGCTGCTGAAAGGTGTGCAATGGCAATCACATGTAGAAGTGTATGAATAATATAAGCATATGTAAAAAGCCTACAGAAATAAAGCAAAAATTCAAAAAGAATAGGAGTAATTTTCTACCTTCATTAGATTGGTACAAGCAAAGAAATAAATAGTAAGAAGCAGACTGAAGTAGATGGCCTGTTGTGTCAGGAAAACCTGTGGCTATATAAAATAGGAAAACAAATTACACCATTTTCACTTAACAGTGTTCTATTTTTTAGTAACTGCCCTTCCTAGTTTTAGCCAAACAGCATATTTTTTTTTTCTGGAAGACCGAAACGTACCCATCTCTTTTGAAGAGAAATTCCATTTTCATAGATTTGCAATGATATAATATTGCTTTAATGAAATTATCAAGCATTTTCCACAAAATATAGTGGTTGAATAAATATTAAAATCACAGAGGATGCTTACAGTTGACATAGTTTGCTATAACAAACCAAATTATTCACTGCTTTTGTTCTCATTAAATAATTTATCATTTTTCCTTCATAGCTATTTCTGAGCAAATCATTATTCTTACAAATGTGTTCCCAATTTCACTTTCATTCACTCATGTATTCATGTTTGGTGGCCCCTTCGGCCCCAGTCTTAAATTTGAATCCACACATGGGAAATCCAGCCTTGCATTGAGTCTGACTGAACTCAGTGTCAGTCAGTCATGCAGAACTCATGAAGTTAAGTTTGTTTACTTGCTATTCATGTGTGTTTGTGTATTGCTACTAGACCTATGCGAAGGCAGCAACATTCACTTTCAGATTATTTTGTAACAGCAGCCTTTCATTATATCATGCTGGACTTCCTGTTTAGAACTCATGCAAAATCCCCGTATCTGTGAAACTGGCATGCCTCACATTTTCACCAGTAAGCTCATAGAGAAGTAAATATTAATGCCCAAGATGAATACTTCCGTAATTGTGGGTGCCAACATCTGTGCAGAGACCCTAGACTTCCCTACTCTTCTTTATAAAATATGGGACAGAATAATTCCACCAGAGTGCTCACTCGTTATGAAAAAATTTTTCAGATTATTTTTCCATTCCTCATTTTTGTAGTTATAGGATTCAGGGTACAGTACCAGCTTTTTAGCATGACTTGAAGATTAATGTGATCATATAACCTTGACAGCTTCTCACTCACTGTTTGGACTATTAAAAACACCGGGTTTGTGTAGAGATTTTCCTTTCTCAGAGATGAGGTAGCAGCTTTCATTTAACAGAGCTTCTGGAGTTCTCTTTTTCCTTAAAATATGAATAATGGGCATGGTTCAGAACGTAGGCATTACTTTGCTTTCTCTGTAATGCTTCTATGAGTCCCCACTGTGCAAACAGACCCACCTTGGAGAATGTAGTATAATGGCAGTCTATTGCACTGCCTGGTATTTGAAGTTCCATGCAACCACTTCATATTTGAGTTTCTCCTTTAAAATCAGCATGCATAGGCTTCATAGGAATAAATAGTATGCTATAAGGTTGATTAGAGACAATATCATGATTCAGAATGATCATGGTTGTTTGGGATTCTTAGCTAATGAAATACTAAACAAATTGTTCCATTTGTTCTACTATTATGGTAACTGGAAGCAATGGCAAGAGAAATTACAGACCATTAGCACACTGAATCATTTCTCTTTATTAAGCTAAAAGCAGTCTCGTCTCTCATAATTCTCATGAAGGGTTAAGCTCAAAGGTCCACATGGACGTGACTGGCCCATCCAGCTGGTGTAGCTAAGGCCAGTTTCTGTAGCAGGAGGCACACAAGAAATGATACAGCTTTTATAACTAATGATGAAGCTTGTAAAAAGTTAGTTGTGTATTCACTACCATTCTAAATGGCCAGATCTCCATTGGCCACAGTCTTCAGCAGAGTGAGAGACATTTATATGCTGTCACCAGTTTGCTGGCTGAAAGGGATGACAAAATAAAGCTTGATCATAGTGTCACATGAAAAAACTCTCAGTGTAGAAAAGCACCAGTTAACTGTTGCCTGGAAGCTCTTCTTCAAAAAAGAAAGGAGACTATTCAGAAGGAACACAAGTTCACTCCAACTGCTTGCAATTGGTCAGCGCTGGTAGGTCATTAGAGCTAGTAAGGCTAGTAGAATAAACCTGGGTATGCTATTCCTCTTCATTGCTGCAAGGAGAATACACTGCTGTTACCAATGAATTACTTGCTATACATCAAACACTGAAATCAGTTTTACTAGGGTTAAAAAATTGGAATGATTCCAGGTGTTGCCAAAACTGCTGATGCCAGATGCTGCCAAATCTTCTCGACTGTCCCTTTTTTTCACTGAAAATTTTCTGTGAAAAATATTTATTCTGTGGGTTGTCTGCAACTGTAGGAGTGTTTTTGCCCTTCGTGATTCACTAAGTCTACCACGTGATTACTTACCTTAAATCACATAGCTATTTTTGTTGTTCCTTCATGGAGTAACCTAACCTTTTTAAACAGAAAGAGGTCTCTCTTCTGTGTTTGCAGTTATCCTTTCTAAACACTAAATTTATGTCCTGTAAGACTGGAAAATAAAGTCAAAATAAAGAAACTTGTTGGTTTTGTGCTCTCACATCCAGTGTCTACAATATCAGAACTATTAATTCTTAATTTTGCTTGTAACACTTCCCTTCTGCAGTCATACTTGAAAATAGAAGCTCATATTCCCAAATGCTCCTAGTAAGTGAAAAGAGCACCACAAATATCAGCAAAGCAAACCAGGGAGTTTGATTTCCAAGAGCGTTCATGGATACTTTGTGTTCACCAGTAACTGTTAGGAAGAACTTTCACACAGTAAAATTTAAAGTACAGTAAATAAAGAATAATTATATCAGATCATCACGATGTGTAAATAGTCACAAGGAAAAATGTGATGAAGAGAGAGAAAAATACTGACCTGAACTTGGATTTTGAGATGGTTTGACTAGGACAAAGGGAAAACACATTTTTGAGAATGTGGAAACAACAATTAACACAAATTCATTCTCTTTAGAATTTTGCAAATCAATACATTGGAATTACATATACATAAAACCAAGCTTTTAACAAAATGCATCAAGAATGCTGAAATTCTATTGTCTGTTACTTATTTTCCGAAATACCATTCCTAAAACTTGACAAATTTTCTAAGTGAAAGAAAGGAAATCTTTAAAACTAAGAAAGGAAATCTCCTTTAAAACTAAGTAAATAAACAGCTCATGTAGAAGCTGCTTGGAAGTCATGAAAATCTGAGCGAATAAATAGTGAACTCCATGGGTTATAGAAATATTCCCATACATTCAGTTATTGCCTAGAAAATACATAATCTCCAGCAGATGTACAATTTAACAGAAAACAAGACTTTTTACATGTCATAGGGGACTTCTTTTCTTATTATTTTATAAAAGCTTACAGGAAAACATGACGCTACTGCAAGTTTAGTTGAATTGGTATGTTTTAATGCTATAACAATTGGTCTAGTATTAAACTACTGAAAGGCAAAAAAAACCCCAAGTGCCATACAAAGCTTGACTATTTGAAAGCAGTTTTTGCTAAATAAACAGCAGGGAAAGAATGAGTCTTTTAAATTTTGAGATGATGAGGGTGGGTACTTGAAAGCAGCCTGTGTACTCACCATAAACTCCCACAGCATGCAGGGTTCTCTCCTTCTCCACTCACGTTCTCTGTGTTCACTGATTCAGTTTCACTGGTGGGCATGCTTGCTGTTAGGAGACAGAAAATTGCATTAGATTGATAGCCAAGCAAGGCGTGAAACAGAATATGATCTCCTGTTCTATTGCAAGAATGCCTCCACTTTTTGCATGTCTAACGACAGCGTGGAAGATCTGAGGAATAGCAGATGAAGTTAGAAACTTATCAGTCCTCCTCTTATAACAAAAGAGAGAACACAGAATTCCAGTGTGTATCATAGATTTTTCTGTTTCTTTTCAATGATTCAAGATAACTGTTGAAAATGCACTACAGAATGCAACATAGAGGAGTTTTGTAACAAAGAGCATGCTGCCGCTTTTAATGAAATAAACCCTGACCTAGATTTTGTGACCTTTCATTTTAAGAAGTGGAGGTGCTTATCAGTTGTTAAGTGTTGCTAACATGCTTTCCAATCCCAAGAAACGTCATCAAAGCTCTTTGAAAATAGGAACTATCACACTCTGACCATTCTATGCTTTTACTTCTATTATGAATTACCACGGCAAGGTGCTAGAAAGTGATTGTGCCTGCAAATACTGTACGAGCAGAGAGGAGAGTGTGTTGGGAATGGCAGAATACAAAGGATGATGAGAATTATTACTGATAAAAAGGGGATGATGTTTGTTACACAGTGAATTACTGTGCATATAGCAGATCATTACTGAATAGTTAGCAATTGCAGCTAACGTTTTTTAAACAAAACTCATTTGCAAATTGGTCATCACCATTTATCTTCAACTGAAACAGAGCGGGGGGACAGCGTATGTCAAAAGGTATTAGGAAACGACGAACAGTCAAAGATCTCAGTACTTCCTACGGGAGAACACTACTTCCATGCCTGCAAAGCAAGCATGAAAGGAAAACCTCAGTAACAAGAAAAGCGTCAAATTAATGTTGCTGGCTTATACAGTAGAAATACCATATAAAGTTGGGAAAAATAAGAGAGATGGAAGATGCACTGAAATTATCTTAAGATACTCTGTTTTTCTTCTGTTCTTGCTGTTCTACAGTAATTTAGGTACCTTCTGCTGTTTTGATGGTTTGCCTGTTTGGTTTTTTGGTTTGGTTGGTTTGTTTTGTTAGGGAGGGTTTAAGCCAACATATGCGAACTGAGAGTACTGAAAGCAGAAGGGCTACAAAGCCTATTTCTGTTAGGCAGGTCTCACTATTTTGGTAGCCTGAAGGACGCTTAAAGCAGGCCTAATTACACACATCTTAATATAAGTAAGACTTGAGAATCAGACCCTGAATTTTCTGATTTTTCTACAGATCAGGTAGAAAACAGTTTCTCTGCACAGCTTCTGTATTGCCTCAACACCAACAAAGAGAAACATGGAAGTGGTAATTGGTAGTTTGGTTTCCATGCCCATCAATTCCATCCAAGTAGAGAATAATGGATCTGTGCAGGCTAGATGCTCAGCTGCTATTTGCAACAGCTGAGAATCTGTCCCCAGAAACATAGGTCACCACTACCTGAAAAGTTAAACACAGAGTTGGCATAACAAAGAAAGAGCCAAAACTTCCACGCAGGTGTTTGACTAAAACTTCAGGCACTAAGCATGGCAAAACCTTCTTTCACAAGGTTCTTTTAAAAGATTACTGCAATTGCTTTATATATGAACAATTCCTGGTTAGCACCTGCAAGTGCCTCAAGTCTAGTACTATGCTTCTCTTTATACATCAGTTTTAAAAAATGAATATTGCTAGTCTTGTGTGAACTTCACAGCATACAGTCATAGAGTTCAAAAGGAATTTCATTCAAAAATAAAGCAAACAATCTCTGAAGATACCCAAATTCAAGTATTAAAATTTTAAAGGATTTAAGAAAAAAAAAATTCACAAAATTATTTCAGACATTATCTCGGATCTTCAGAACTAATAGTTTTTATTTTAAAATGCCAGGGTCTTTTGCAAGGGGTTTCCATGTCTGCTTAATGGCTGAAATGGTTGTCTTGTGCTGGGTGACTTGCATACTGTTAGGAAACACAACATTATAGCCACCCAGTGACGAACATTTTAGTTCTTATGATGGGCAACTCCAAAACACAAGGGCAGAAGGCTTGTTTCATACACTGTTACTAAGAGCTGCCAGGAAAACAGAGCTAGGCCCACTTCTGCAAGTATTACGTGCGCAACATGTCTCACACTTGTGTTTCAAATTTATCAACCCTTCCCTCATCTACAAGCAGTACCTAGAATCCATTCTTCATGAAGTGTCACTGTCACACAAATTCTATTTGTTTTAATATATACCAAAAAATTTCTAAAAGAGTAAGTGTAAAGTAGTATAATTTTAATTCAAGTCTACCCAGACTTGATGCCTTAACCCATAGTAAGAAGTACCAGCCCTTTTTGAACATGACCACATGAAGAAAAACAAAATACCAAGGTGGAAAAAAAAAATATCTTTGTCCCTATTGAGCCAATGTCAGTTCTGCTAATAATGAAATACAGCCAGAACATTAAACACTATTTCAGACAGGGCCATTGCTCTAGCTCTATTAGTGACTTGCAGGTGCTGTGTTACAAAAATGGAAGAGGAAAAAAAGACCCCCAGACAGTTCCGTTTACATTAGAAACTCAGCTATCATTATACTGTAATTTATATGCCAAAAGCAAAACTTGACAGAAGCACTGAGAAAGGAAAGGCACCATGTGGAAGTCTAGCTCCAGCAATGCTAGCAAGTCATTAAATCTTTAGCCAGAAGAAAACAGCAAGAGCACTGCATGACCAAAGTCCACTCCTGCTAATGCAAGCAACCTGGCAAGTCTTGAAAAGACTCCATTTCATAACCACAGCTGTTTTAAGGGCAGTGTTCACTGGGCAAAGTACAGCACACAGAATTATCTTTTGAAAGACCATCTGATCTCAGTAAGGCCAACTTCGAGATCTTTAAACTGGTACTCCAGTATTCAAAGGAAGAGACCAAATTTTCTCTATCCTTTATTCACCTTTTGCCCTTATTTTACTGGCATTCTTCTAGAAGGTTTATCTAGATTTCTAGATAGTATCAGCTCTCTTCAATTATGGTAACTGGTTTCAAATGGAAGAATGCTTGCATTAGGCAATATAAACAACCCATACAGCATGCAGCTTAATACTTTCCTGAGTACATAGAAATTAGGTCAAATATATCAACTACTACATTTTATTTCTGTGGATAAAAAAAATAGATTGTTTTTCTCATGTTGTAATGTTCACTATTTACACTAAACAGTTTTCAGATTTTGGAGCAGGGATTTCAAACTCTGCTCCAGGACATAACATAACTAACGCATAGCTAAGAGCAAGTCAGTGTCCATCAGCATTGGTATGTTCTAGCCAGCTGGAGTCAGAAGAATGAATTCCATAATCCTGCTATACAACAATTTAGTGTCTCTGTAGAATCCAGAAGCAGGCTAAATTACACCCTGAATTATTGAACTGTGGTGGTATTATAGTTGGAAATATCTTCCTCTAGAAACTATATAATTAGTATATTAATCCGGTTCAACTTCAGCTATGCATTTTTGATCCATAGGCTGATCTCTTTTCCACGCTGATGCACCTTGGGTACTTTTCTGGTTACACAGGCTGAAGGAAAAGAGCTGCACTGATCTGCAGAGCTAGTCAGATAATCAGTAATAGCTACTCTAGAGAACCTTACAATTATTAAAAATATACTATACTGGCAAAATTTTAGATCGACCTTGCAAAATGTTCATCTCCTGTCTGCTAGTAACATCTAACCAATTCCATGAGCTCCAAAATTCTCCCTAATTCTTTCTCAAATCAGTACATGGATTTTATGAATCCTTTACACCAAATCTTTGAGGTAGTCAAACAGAACAGAACAACAAAAAAAAAAAGTCACAAAAGATGCAACATTATCATTGCAAATTAATTACAAATTTTCCTAAGTTTGCTGTATGCCCAGAAACCACATCAGAAAGAAGTAGCACTATCTACTGTGACTTGAAGATCCTCAGGGTAAATTGAGTTTAAGGAGGGACCGCCTGGAAAATGCTCTACATTATACTGTAGCGAGGTATCTGTTTTCATAGTGCAGATTTAATGTTGATACTATTAATAAGCATTCTTACAGGCTCTCTCTTTTTATGGGCAGCCCATGGAAACTCAAGATAAGGTTGAATGGTTGCATAGCAGTGGAAGGAGAGCGAAAAAATCGCTCTTCATTACAGAAGCAGCACTGAACCAACCACTTCTAGCCTGAAGGATGACACTATGAATCTTGGGAAAGTTGTATATTCTACATTCTATTTGGTGCTTTTAATAGAAATAGAGGTACAGATATAATACACATAAAAATATTTAGGGTGGCATTTCTAATCCAGTGGTACTCTAAGCCTGAGCTGCTCAGATCAGTATAATAGTCTCACAAATACAGAAGGAAAAAGACTTAGGTCACTGATTTGTACTTTGGAAAAATCCTACTCATAAAAGGTATACCTGCCTTTCAAGACACAGATTAAACAGTAAGTCAGTGCACGCATGCTTGAGAGTGTTTTTGACTAGCAAGGTCCAGTACTAGCAGCAAGACAGCATTTGCGGCTCGTAGAAAACAGCAAGTTTTCAGCCAGTTCCACGCTGCTTCACAACTGACATCAGGACATCAACCTGCTAGCTTAAAGGCTACTTGGTAACACATATCCACAGTAAGATTGCAACCGCTGCCTTCTAGCAATTTTTATGGAAAAATTATTCCAGCCTGTAAAGCTGTGAGAGCTATTAGACAATATATGTAACAGTTACACAAATAATTTCAAGCAGACTCAATATTTGTAGAAAATGAGTCCATCTGGTCCCAGAAATTTCTGACTCAATATTCTGCATTTTCTAAAGTAACTGGATCAGATTTGTCAGCCTCACTCCGAGCCACAACAGTGATTCCTAGGACAGCAAGGAAGTCAGCTGCTCCAATGATTTTGTTTTAGGTAGGATCAAAACTGGATCTCCTAAGTACTACAATGGTGATTATGTCAAATCAATATGTTTGCCAGTATTAAAAGAGCACAGATTTGAAGAATAACTATCATACTGTAAAACCCCTGTCCATCTCCCTTGCAAGTGGGAAAGAAATTTAATGAAACACAAATTACAGAAACAAAACCATCGATAAAAGAGGAGATACAGTAGCAGTTTGTTATTTTTTGTTAGAGTCCACATTAAAAGCATCATAAATAAATAGTAACCATTATCGTCATCCTGTTCTAAGCTTACACTATGATCCATTATAAAGCTTGTAAAAAACTTCAATTAATTTCTTCACACCTGAATTTAAAATACATTTTTTACCTGGTTTGCCTGGTTTTTGAGGAAGAAAACCTATGCTTCAACAAGAACAGTCAGAGACAAAGATGCTTTAGTGGGTATCTAAACAGATTACAGACTATGCTTTAGGAAGGTAGAGCACCGCAGCACCAGTCTATTTCAGACATGCACTTAAAACAGCAGAACTGCATGCACGTGTCTACATGTTAAAGATGTATATGCCTTTGTTACAGAAAATGCATACAATATGTGCTTCCCAAAGCTCACACATCAAATGCAGTATTGACACAAAAGAAAGTTCAACTGCAAATTAGAACATGTTTTACCATGTTTGTTGGAAGAACGGCCAAAGCAACTAAGTCTGCTTTTCTTCTTTTCTTCCATTAAGTCAGCCAATGTAACCCCTTCGTGTCAAGTACATGTAATCCCAGCATTTACACAGTAGATGGCAGCAGTGGCAACGCAAAAAAAATAAAATTGTGTCCATGTATACAACATAAGCAATGTTAGGCAAAACAAATTGAAATTACCGGCAGCATAACTAATCAGAGCTAAATCCCTCCACTCTCGCTGATTTTTGCATTTTGAGCTAATTCGCAATGCTTTGAAGTTAATGGAAGTTTTTCATTGACTTCAGGGTAAGCAGCTATTGGTTCGTAATAAAGACTTACGACTTTTACTAAAGGTGTATTTACAATTCTAGTAGTTAGAAGGTGTTCTGTTATTCAACAGCACTGAATACCTCCCCTCTATCAGCAACAGAGGTGTACAAATATAGGGGTTTCACAGATAAATGTGAATAACTTCTCTGGTTAGAAATTTTTAAATGCTGAGGTTGCAGGAACCTAAACTACATTTTTAAAGTATTATGTAAGAACCTATTCATCACTGATTTAACTGCCTTTGAAACCTGTACCTTTACCTGCCATAAAGGCAAGAGATCTTCTGTATCATAAACTCAGAGCTCTTTAACATCATTGAAGAGCATCACAGTGATCTTCCATCACCATAAATCAGTAATAATCTCGATCATCCAAAGGTTTAGGTATTCAAATTAGGGACATAGCTGCCTAGAAACCTACAAAGGATTATTCTGCCTATCTTGGGACATAGCCCTACCTAATGCTTCAAAGACAGTTCCAGAAATGCATCACCAGTACATGTGGACTAAATTTATTTCCTAAGCTTACTACTCAAGTTTATTGACCTGGTGATAACTAGCTAAATTTCACCAGACTCCCAAACAGGTAGCTTATTATCATAACTCCTAACCCAAAAGCTTCCCATGGAGTAACTGGATAGATAGCTTGTGCTGCCTCTCATCATACTTCCCCATGCAGCAGAGCGCATCTTGAACGCACAGAGGCGGAGCAATTCAGCAACCCTTTCTTCTTTACACCCCGTTGCAGCTGATGTTAAAAACTGAATTCCAAGCCACACATTAAAGCACATGCGCACAAACCCAGAGGAGTGCTAGGAGATTGCCTATTCACTGGAAGTTTCCACTCAAAATACATATGCATGCCTGAAACTAAATTCTTAGAACTTGTTTTAAAGTTCATTTAACTACTTTCCTTCTCCTATTTTTACTCTGCAAGTCTTCTCCAACCCTTAACTTACCCTAAAATTATGTCCAAGTTAACAGTTTAGAGCCAAAAGTTCTCTCAAACTCAACAACTACACAAACAAGCATTTTCGATTTATGAAAGACTTATATGACCTAGAAGTTGCTTAAGGAATGCTGGAAAAAATGGTTCTTTTGCAGTATATTAACAGCCATCCAGTTTGAACAGGATGCAAAAAGTTCCTGGTATTTCACCTGCAGACTTGCAAACCGAGCCCATCAGCACTGTATCTGACAGCATGGTTATCCAGTGCTCTGGGCAAATTCAGCATCACCTACAAATTCCGCATGGAAATCTTGCACGAAGTGCACTCCGTAAAACATGCAGTCTTTTACTTTTCAATCTTGGGATTTTATACTGATACTCAAACCCACAGTTTATGTATTCCTTCCACACAACATTAGTGGCAATAACCAAGCAGAGTGAACTCTTTGGGTTTTTTCCTCTGCTCTACAGAAAAACTCTCTTTGTGCTACAGATTTTCATATAGACACAAATTACTCCTTTCTGGGTGATGCTGGCATCAACAGCAATCTACAAGTTGCTTTCCAGCCTCTCATAGAATCAACTTGTTTTCTTCCCATCAGTAACACAGATTCACACCCTGCTTTTATGGCAAGCTAGAGGACTAACAAAATTCTGAAACTCAAAAATATAAAGACTTTTAAAAACTTAAATATATGCAATACAGAGATAAGTTTAAAAACAGATACCTTAGCATCAAACCATATAATTTTCACTATTTTACTACTTCTGAAAAGTATTGTGGTTTAAAAGAACAGTTCACAATAAAATAGCAGCATTAGAAGAAAAAGAACAGTAATCATGTATTATTTCAACACAGAAATAATATTCTGAGTTGCCTTTGACAAACCATTTGTAGATGCATTTTCTTGTATATACTCAATGGTATTTAAATGAATAAATATCATGACTTTCCAGAGTATCACACAGATAATAAGGTGATATTTAGCATTAGTATATATATTGAAATTTGGACTTTAATCTTATGTGTAGCATTAAATCACAAACCACATCCTGAACCTACATTCTCATTTATGTACAGCACTAAAAGTTCTCATGAAAATTTTAACTGCTACTATGTAAACATGGCTAAGAGGCTAAAATAACCTCTACTAAATTATGACATCAAAATACTGCTGTTACTTGAAATTTCTGACATAGAGAAATCGATTATAACTTTTACAGTTGTTGCAATATCATGAAACTAACTTGTTCCTTTAGGCCAGGACTTGGGTCACAAGCACTAGAGGGCCACTACAGCACAAGTTACCTTTCCCATAATACACTATACACTACTGTCGAATAAATACATTGTAAGTGATAATTATATTTCTTAAGTGTCAAACAAAAATCCCACAAGATTTCACTTATTTCACGCTCAGTTAATAAATCTAGTAAAAATAGAATTTATATACTTTTCTTGAACATCAGAAAGAGAGATGCAGAATGCCATTTCCCTACTTCAAAACTCAAAACAAATCCTCACTATTGGCACAAGGTTATTTCTCGACTGTAGTTTTGGCCGTATTTTTTAAGCTTTTTATATTATTATTACTTCTATTGCACACACCTACAGGCAAACACATATTCCTCTTGACTAAGGATTTACAATGATATTTAGTGGCACGTAGCTTGTATGAACTAACTTCTTACAGAACACAAATAAAACAAAGTTTTTAAGTCTCAGAAGTGATCAAGTGCAGACAATGATTTGCACATGGACAGCTCAGAGCAGAATTTTGTTGCAAGGTTCTGAATTATCTTCCATGACTAAGTATCAATATATTAACAGACATGATTGCTTTGCTAACGAACACTTCTGCAAACTAGAAATCAGAAAGCGACATCAGATAGGCTGCATTCACCACAGTGTAACACCCTTAAAAGCAGTCAAACTGTCCCCCACAGAAATAGCACAGAGTAAAGAACACGTACTGTTCCGCTTGCCTTCTTCATCAACCTCTTCGTCATTCTCAGGGTCAATGTCTTCTGCCTGTGTAATCCAGTCTAAATATCCCTTCAGATCTTCTTCAAGCTGCTGTTTTTCACGTAGTTTCTGAAAGTCCCCTCGGGCCTTAGCTTTTTCTCTTTCCTTGGAAAATTCTCTATCAAATTCAGATAAAGGAGAAAAAAATACTAGTTTTCAAACTCTCAGGCATTTTGACCTGGGTCTTGAGAATAACATACTGACATAGAAAATGAACTGAATAAACTACACCGAAGATTTGAGAGCTTCTTTGAAAACAAGACAGTGATGCAAAAAAAGTCATGGCAAATACCTATCATATTACATCAAAACTTCCAGAGCTTTTATCAGAAAAGCCCCCCCATTTAGTTATGTGCTCTTCTATACAGATTTTAAAATCAGTTTTATCTAACAGCTATGAAGAGAAAATGACTTGCAGTGATTTCAGAGAGGTATTAGTTTCAGTGAAAAGGAAATTCTGGCAGCCAGTTCTAAAATCCTTCCTCTTCCAGCCATGGTTTATTGGCCATGTCCAAACATACTTATTTCAGTGCATGGTTCACAGAACTCCACTAATAAGCTCTCTCTTAATTACACAGACATCCATGCTGTTTGAGATCTGGATGTTTCACCCTTTTGCTCTCTGTAACAGAACCTAGAAATCCTGTTTTCACAGATTGGAAATGCACCCTTTCATACAAATTGAATCCTCGATCTCATTGCCCCTGTCCCAAGACAACATATTTAACTGTCTGTCTAGTTTAGCTTTGTGATTTGGGTCACATTCCCTAATTCCCTAAGTTATCATGGAATGATAATTAAAATAATTAAGTCATGCTCTTTGAGAAGGAAGTTGGATAAAGTGACCTAACTGAAGTCTCTTCCAACCTGAATTACCTCATGGCAGGAGGGTTGGACTAGATGACCTCTAGGGGTCCCTTCCAACCCAAAACATTCTATGATTCTATGAATCCATGACTCCCTTAATGATATATGACTCAAGACAGTTAGCAAGTAAATTCTTGCACTATGACATTTCATATGCTGACATTACTACAAAATTTGCTGCAATACACAGCTCCAAACATGTAACTCCCTTTGCTAGAAGGATCAAACATTCTTTTAATTTATCTAAGTATCAATATGTATGATTAGGGGTAAGCAAGCAACTTTTGCACTGTATCGTAACTATGTACCAATTCAGTATTTAAAATTAAGCTTGTTCTGACTAACCCGTTAATCTTATGATAGGGCTGAAATGAAACATAAAAAAATGGCTATAGTAGTTTCATTTACTATGAATTTGCAAGTCCTTTATTTATTGTGAACTTTCATTTGAAAATATTCCCTAATTAATACATTCCCAGGGGCAAATTTATTAAAGCACTCAATAATACCCTTTTTCAAGGGGAAAATACTAGGAAATTAGTGTAAGACTTACAAAATATTTTAACAAGGTGAACACAATTATCAATATGATGTCAACGTGTTAATAAAACACAGCAGAATAATAGAAAGTCTCATAATTTTTCGTATTTAGAATTACAAAGGTATAATCTCTCCAGGTATTTTTACTTTTATTTGCAGTTTTCAAGCACATCTTCTGACCACTAAATTTCTGCTTTGACAGAGTAAATTTCAGAATTAAGCTCTTTACATGGAACCATACGGATTTTGGTTTTTGGTGGGGTTTTTTTTAATGTTATATTGCAGAAACTAAAAAGCTTTCTGTTGCAAAAGCTAAGAGGCAGGCATTACACCTTTTATAGTTGAGGACTGAATTCAACAAAAATTCAGTCTGGCAGGTGGAGATCATCCCTTTCCATCTGATGGCACTGTAATGAAGCTGAAGAATGCCAGTGCTTGCTTTGCATTTGCTATCCTTCACCTGGCATCCAAGGACGAAGTCCTTCCGAAGGCCATCTCTTCAGAAAAACGCTCATGAAAGAGAGCAAGCCCAACGGACCTCTCTGATGGATAATTGTTTTTAGAAAGAGAGCAAAAATATTTTATTGTTCTGGCAGATGGTGTCACAAGCCTACAAAAAATTGTTTGGTTTGTGGAATGTTGGGTTTAAGCTTCTCTCAGTATCGGAGAGACCATCCTTTACATCCAACTGAGGCAACACACTTGGGACTCTCATTCCACTGGCAGTATCTTTGAAAAAAAGAGCTATCATGGCATAGTATGAAATCAGAAGTAACAAGCCTTGCTGGCTTTTATTAAGTATTGCTGTTTTCTTCAGTTAAGTCCTTCGGGTGTTTTTTGTTAAGGTGAAGAATATGTGATCTCTGTGGGTAAAGTAAAATGAAAGCTGCTATTATTAAATGATTTCTTTCACTTCACTCCATATGAAAATGAAACAGTTGGCATGGCTGATACTTTCAACAGTACTTCACCCATGACTGAACTACCTTTTAACTTTGACTTTACATTAAAACAGCTGCATGCAGAGAATTAAGCAGAGTTTTTTATATACGCAGCTAACTATGACCTTTCCCTTTAATACAGAACAGAAGTCAGACATTGTCTTGTTAAATGCTGCTGCAATTTATCAGTAGGGGGAGATGCAATGGTGCTTAATTTCAATGATATTCAAAAGTGTTATTTTTATTTTTAAAATGTGACTGTTTGTAAGGAAGTATAATATTTTAGAAGATTGCATTTTCTTTAGGGGAAGGAGGAATCTGGCTCTATGGTATTTTTTTTTCTGTCACAGTCACAATGAAGTGACATTCCTCAGACACACATATGTACGGATTCCTTTTACTGAAATACCATGAGTAAGACAGTGGAATTAAATGGAAATAGAATGTAACGAGTTTCCTGTTAGCAGAAAAAAAAGCTTTTTTTTTTTTTTTTTTCTAAGAAACAAGAAGTTATTTGAAAGAAAAAAATCATGGGGGTGAGATGAGGGAGAGACATTGGCTCTTTAAAACTTCTGACAAAGACATTTAGACAAGAAGATATTTGAATAGATGTACAGAGATACGTAGGCATTGGCTGATCTCCTGGGAGGAGGAATAAGACAGCTGCTTGTACAGCATTTCATTGCTATGGAGAGCATAGGCTGGGACCAAGGCAGAAAGGAAAAGCTTTTGGCTATGTAGGCACCATAGGCCCTGACTGGTTGGACTAATGGCCTGAACTGGCCTCCATGGCTCTTACCAAGCCCTACTCAGTCCAGAAGCCTATGAAGTTGACAGGCTTAGGAAGCAGCACATTACTTGTGGTAAGTGGACTTAAGCTCTGTAAATATTTGGTTTCACAAATGCCAGTGCTAAGAGGTAACTTCCAAATGTGTATTGCATTTTGGTTTGATAAAATGACCTGAATCTGGCATTTGGAAGTGTGGTTTTTTTGGGGGGGCGAGAGTGTGTTCATTGTCTAAACTGACAAAAATTGTATTCAAAGGGCTGTTGTGACTGTGCTAGCATTCATAAGGGTCTCTCCACTAAAATGTGATTTAAATCAGTCTCCACCCAAGTTTCAAACTGAAAAATCACAAGGAGCTGATTCAATACCAGCATATGTGAAATGAAAACCAGGCCTATTGCCTGTAAATTTTCAGTTTAAAAATAAAACAGATTTAAGTAGTTTTCGTAAAGCAGAGGACTCAATGAACATGTTTTTGTCCTAATTTCAGTAACTAGAAAAAGCCCAGGTTACCACTGTCTCATATTTTAAAGGATAATATGCTTCAAAATTAAGACTTTAGACTAGCAGGTCTAGAAAGAACTTTTTGCAAGTCTCTACTTCTGAAGAATCTTATAAAGCAGACCTGCATAACTTTTATAACACCACCTTGTATAATTACCTGTTTGCCTTCAAAAATACCTTGTCTTCAAAACAGTCTATTGCTACCTAGATGGAGGCAATTCAGTTTTGCATTTCACTGCAAATGCAAATAAATCAGATGACCCAGACCTAGCCAGCCTAATTTTGATCTAGTTAAATATGAATAAGAATTCAGCATATCACAATATCCTGTAAACTGAGTAAAGCCTTATATTGCAGCCATAGTGTAAATAACTCAGTCAATTGCACCTGCAGCAGAAAGGAGACACTACTTGCAAAATAAAGGATTATATGGACACTCACCTACATAATCTAACTTATTTTTAGTGATAAATAAGCTAGTATATAAAATGCAAGTTTTATTTCTATCGCCCCAAAATTCCTTGCTTCCTTTCAGAAAGATGATCTCAATTCTCTGTTTAGGCACAATACCATCATCAGCAATGGTTGTTGAGTCAGAAGCATATAAAATGCAGGGTTTGAGTTCATGCTTCGGTGGTCTGAGGCAATCATTTTCATGTTAGGTTTTTTCTTTCTTCAACAGAGTCAAATAACTCCTGCTGGTATGCATCAGCTGGGAATGGCTTGATGCAACAGGGTGAAGGTGGCAGCAGTGAGTACCTAGTGGGACTCAATTACAGCTCTCTGGTTCTCACACCTTAATTTGAGGCAGGGTCATATTAACCAAAAATCAATTTGCTTAAATGCAAGTATCTGGTATACTCTCCCTTCTCTTCATAATTCACGGACATAATAACTAAGGAGACACCTCCTTATCAGCTGAAAGTTCTTCCATACTAAAGGCACTTTTCATAAGGGGGCTTGTGCAGCAACATGTTCCTGTATCTCCTGTGCATCACCAGGCATGGCTGGTGGAAATTTAGGAAATAAACTGCTGCCTTCTATGTCTAAGCATAACCCAGGACACTAATTCTTTGTTGGCCATATTACTGCCCTTTTGTGTCACTGTAAATGCAGTGAGACAGAGAATTCATCTACTGCAGTATGCAACTTACTGCCACAGAGGGTCTGGTACGTGGAAAGTGTTATGTTAATGCTATATGTAGAACTGTCACCTAGACATCCTAGACTCTCGTTTATTCACAGAGAACACTCACATAACAACAAAAATGAACTCACAGGAGTACAGTGTTGGCCACCAGACTCACAGAAGAGGTTTCACACAGTGGTAACCATACCAACCAACAAAGTAGCAGAATCAAATCAGAGAGCTCAAACTGCTTAAACTGTACAGATAAACAGCTCACAGCTGGGTATAATGTGTAACAGATGTAGAGAGACATAAAAAAGGTTAATTAACATCACATCTTTAATTACTGG